GAGGGTGGGAAGAGGACATGTTGGGGGCGTAGAGGAAGGAGGAAGGAAGGAGACAGAGGAAGAAGAGGAGGAAGAAGAAGTTGGGTTTTTGGGGAGATGACAATGATTTTGGGGAGGGGTAAAATTGGGTTTTGCGGTAAAAACATAAAAAATTGAGATAATCATAAGCTGTCATGAGCTAGAGGAGTTTGGGCATATTTTTTTTAAAATTTTGAGGGCTACAGCATATTTTAAAAAGTATGAAGGGTTAGAACACATTGTCTTTTGGGTTTTGTGGCCCTGAAGTAATTTTTCCAAATTTATAAACAAATTTAGTCCTCGTACTCTCCCGTCACCAATCTAGATTCAAGTCTAAAGACGGAACGGTTTCCCTAGTTTTTAAAGTTGGGGGGTTTGATGAAATTTTCGCCGAAGTCAGGGTGTTTGTGTTCAACCTACCCTTTATTTTTGGACGGTCCAGATCTAAATAAGGGGTCCAAATCCGGCCATTCTTTCGCCGCCTGTTAGGTCTCCACTCTCCTCTCCTCTTCTTGAAATCGATCGAAATCAAAATCGAGATCAGTCTATTGGGCGTGAGCATTAATCAATGGTGGCGCCGGCAGTTAGGCTGAGGGGAGCGGCGGCGGTGGAGGCTCGCAAGCGGACCTTCGAGTTCTTCAAGACCGCGTGCCGGGCACTTCCGTCGGTGATGGATATCTACAATCTCCACGATGTCGTCACGATTTCCGAGCTCCGATCGTCGATCTCGTCCCAGATCCGAAAGAACGCCCACGTCACTAACCCTAAGGTAAAATTTCCCCCCTTTTGGTGTTGTTTTTTATTTTAACCCATCATTGTCTTCTGAACCTAGTTATCATACTTTTTTAGCGTATGAACGCAGCTTGGGTATTGTGGGCGTATGAATGAACGGGTTTTAAATTATATGTTAAGGGGGAGAAAACCTTTTTTTGGAATTAAAGAATGGATATTTTGGCGGAAATTTTCATTTGATCATGGCGATATTTGCCCAAACGATCTATAAGTTATATATGCCTAATGAATTGTATGTGTAACTTCTCGGTGGTCGAACTCGTCTTACGGGACTCGCTTCACTTTCTCAAGGGAATAAATGCATGTTTTCCCCCTTGTCGTCTACAATAGCTGGATATGAACTTTGTCGATTTCGGTTGATTTCTGCTTGCACACGAACATTTGGTTCCCAGTATGCATTTTATCTTCATGTTTAAATGTGACAACTGTCCAGTTAGAATTGTGACCTAAAAAAGCTGTGCAAAAATACCAAATATTGACAGTGCACTGCAAATGCATATCACAGTTGTTACTGATTTCGTGGGTGATTAGACCTTTGGATAGTTGAGGTCTTTCATACTTGTATGTATGACAGTTGGGTGAAATGGGTTTCATTGGAGTTTCTTGTCTTGGGATTGTATAACTATTGACTTCTTAATCTGAGACATATGGAGAACAAGTATGATTTCAGTTCCTCTATGCTAAGGACTGTAATGCAAGATCTCCATATTTACATGCTATTTCCTGACCCTTAAAATCAAATATATTATTATTATTATTATGGCTGTAGATTGTTTTCTTGGGATGGGCTGCCAATTTTTTATGTCTGTTCAAAGGAAGAGTTCAAGTGTTCAACCTTATCCATTGAATTCTCTTGAAAGAGTATGGGGCATTTGTCTGGGTAAGGTTGTGATCTGTATTTTAAGGAGGCAAAAAACTTGTTTTCTGGAGGAGTCAGTAATCGACGAGTTAGGTTATTCTCTAACATCCAAGGTACCATAAGTGTGAGCATGGCAGTTTATCCTATTCCTGAGGAACTCATTAAGTTACTGTGCATTAGGTTGTATTAAATTTTGGTACTTTTAGTTTTAGCTATGCATTAAAATTCACTGGAAGTATTTTTTGTACTTAATAACTCTCGAGGCTTATATCAGTCACTTTGAGGTCAAGTGTTGATAAGGAAATAATTCTTCTGCAATATCTAGATTGATTAATGAGTAACTACTAAATGAGACCCGCTTTTTGGTCGTCAAGTTTTTGTGGTAATTCTTCTGTGTTATTTCCCCTTGATTATTGTATACATGTACATGTATATCTTGTCATATCTGTGACATGGTGAATTAGTACCAATCATCCTGGTCTTGCATGTGAGTTTGAATAGGTGTATGCATATCAAACACAACAACACAGATATACTTGGATATACATGACTATGTTTTGGATTATGCATGGGTCATATCCCAAATATTTCCGGAAAACATTGATCTGTTTTGTGGGTTTAGTTTGTGACCAAAATCCAACATTGCGTCAGACCTAGTCATACAAAAGTCTATGTTTCTGGGTTGGTTTCAAGGGTTCAAAAACATATATGATTGACTCAGTAACTTAAGTTAGACCTTATCCCCTCCCACCATCTTGTGTGTGCATGCGCGCACTGATGCCCTTTGTCTCTATTCTTTAATGATGCTTGCTGAATTCAGTGAGGGGGTACATATACTGACATCGGCTCTGAAATCAGAGTATCTATAGTGATCTTTTCGTCTAATTAGTTGACAGGCCTGATCTGATTTCTGAACTGACTAATAAGTGAAACAAAATTATGTTTGTTTTTCGTTTGGGGGGGGGGGTATCTTGAACTGACTAATAAGTGAAACAAAATTATGTTTGTTTTTCGTTTGGGGGGGGGGGTATCTTGTAAGCTACAATCATTGGATTGTGTACACCATAATCTTTTTGAAATAGGGAGGGAGGAACAAGTTCCCATCATCTTGACCTTGATCTCCTTTACCACTACATGAAGGAGAAAAACTGAGAGCAATAACCAGAGAGATGAAACTGTTTAAGTCTAGTTAAATAGACTCGTTATCGACATATTGAAGCTTGAAAGAATATGATTAACAATGTAACATGGAGTACCAGCTTTTTTGTTTATGCTCCACGGCAGATCTTCACCGTGATCTTCTTTTCCCACTGTCATTACGTGAAGTAAAACTTAGCAAAATAATGAGAGAGGTGATATTTTCTGGACCAAGTTAATGGATTTATATGTACATGCTTTAACACTGTAAAACTGTGATCAACATCTGGCGCCTTCAACTCTGTTTATGCCCTTCCATTTTAGAGTTTCTTTGAACTATTGCAATTATGCAGCATCTCTTCAGAACCTCTTTGAATTATTGCAATTATGCCCCTCCGCTTCAGAATTTATCTTTTTCCTCTTGGCCTCAGAATGCCTTTAACGTTTTGATCATCAATAACTATACTCGCATCTATATATAGTTAAATTTTATAAATTTTAGTTGTCATAGTCATGGGGTTTCGATGAATTGGTGTGTGCGCAGCATATCATGTATTCATATCCCATTCCCATACTAGTGCAACCTGGAATCATTCTTTCCCAATTATATATTCTGCTCATCAGAATTTCCAACTTAAAGATGTAGAGAAGTCTTAGAATCTAAATGATTTAAAATTAGCAGTGTAGTATATGGAATATATGATTAGTAATATTTTACGAGGAAATTATCATGCAGTGGAGGCAGATGAACCAAAGGTATCTAAGGTGTCATTTGGCTACTTCACTTCAATTGTTAATGATGATGTGATGGTTCAATCCAGAAAGGGTATGGCTTGTAGAACCAAAGATGGGTGGGTTAAGTTTCAAGTGTCTATGCGCAGCATACAAAAACAAGGTTTATGCGGATGAGTACTCCTCATACTCGGATGCGGGCTTAGAACAATGTTATTTGATGAGAATCTTCCAATTATTTGATCAACCCGCATAATCGGGCGATTTTGCACTAAAAGCCCCCACATAAAACATTTGCCTTTGGGTGAAACCCGTTTTGTAACTAAACCCAACCCATTTACTATGTAGATTAAAAACAGCCCTTACCCTACAATTCCCTTAAATCGCAACCACCCTTGTAGTCTCGTACCTCTCCGCTTTACGATAATTTCTCTCACCAATGCTCATTGATGTTTGCCGAAGTTCCCTAATACTCGTTGAAGTTCACTTATGCCCGAGGATCTCTCGCTACTTGATGGCAGTGAGTCGTCACTTGTGAAAGTACCCTAGAGGAGGGGTTGAATATGGTATTTGCTAATTTAATCCGATATTAATGCCAAATTAAAACTAATTAACTAATATTCTAGCAATATGATGTATAATGAGATATATGCAAGGATTAACAATATAACACAATAAGCGATATAAACATGCACAAGATATAATAATGATAATAGTGCGTCAAGACAATCCCAAACACAGAAAATGATAACGGAGTTCGGTCAACCCTCGACCTACGTCTCCGCTTCTCGCCTCTAGGAGATTCTCCACTATCAACACAACAACTACACAATCGGTTTTTCAAGTTCATCGAAAACTTTTACAATTACCACACGTTGACAATCACACAATACACTTCTCTAAGTGTTGTCCGACCCGTCACCTTCCTCAAGTGCTTGGAATTACTACATCTCCTTAGGCTTTTACAACCAATCAACTCCTCTTGGAATTGATCCTGTTCTTCTCCCAACCACTCCTCTTAGTGTCCTTGTGTATTACAACGTATTCTCAACAATAAGCTTAAGTAAATGATTTTGTTCTCTAATACAAATGAGAACGAAAATGAAAGCTCACTCAATGATCACACCCACAACCCAATAATACTATATATGAAATACTTAGGCTCAATGGTTATGTGTGAAACAATAAGTAAAACAAATTAAATTTGAATTAATCTAGCATAAATATATGAGATATAAAATAATAAAAAGCTAGATGAAGAGTTTAGAAAACTTTTCCAAACAAGAGATGAAGATATTGAGGATGAAAGCCTTAAACTTGAAATTGAATTCCTTCTCTTGTGAAAACCTCTTCACATAAACGAAATTTTAATCTTCAAAAACTTGAAACAAATAACCCAAAACCTCAATGGAAACCCTTGAAAAACTAGGCTCAAAAAAATGAGCATTGAGGGGTATTTATAACCTCTTAAAGAAAATATCCCAAAACTAGCCGTTACAGCCAAAATCGATTATCGGTTGACTGATGATCCGACCATTAGCAAAATCCAGAACAATATCGATCGACTGATAGGCTATACGGTCGATTGATAAAGATCAGTCAACTGAGCAGAAACAAAACTTGAAATTATAGAGCAGTTTATCGATCGACTGATATGAACAGTCAGTCGATCGAAAACGTGCACAACCCTTATATAAACATTAAAATTGATTTTTAAAGTGTGTTTAAAAATAGTAAATAAATTCCAAAAATTGTAAAACTTGGGGAAATGATTATTCTGATGAAAATAAACATGTTAGAAAAGAAATTTTTTAAATATCATTTCTCGTTTGTGAAAACTCATCATTTTGTAAAATCGGTCAAAATATGAAATCTCAAAACACTTGATTTTTGATGAAATTTTCTCAAACAAGCTTGTGTATTCTTGAGATTTTGCAAAATGGATTAATAGACTTTTAGAAAGGATATAAAATAATATAATCAAGTCTTTAATCCGTAAACACATTAGTTTCCCAAATAAAGATGATAAATATGAAACTAGTATGTATGTATATATATAACTATTAGTTTCATATTTATATGAATAAACTTGAAGGCTATAAAACGAAAATGTGTATGTGTGTAATATTTGAGCTTTTAAATATGACACATAAAGTAAATTTCCTAAACTACTATACCCAAGCAAATGATCTTCGTTAAGCTCGATCTTGGTAAAACATGGATGAAGCGCAATAGAATCTTTGACTTGAATTGCGACGGCTTCATTCCAATTTTCGCCTACCTCCATTTGGATGACATCGTTAAGTTCAATTCCATCCAACCTCCAACCAAGGATCTTTGTGCAGGATTCCTAACAAGTAAATACAAACACTCGATAAACAATGTTAGGAATTATTTGTTAATCATCAAAACTAGATTAGATAGTAGGCTCATAAACATGAGACCTAACAATTTGCTCCTGCCGCATACTATTCTTCTGCTCTTTCTAGAAAGAAATTCTAGAGAAGAGTCTCCTCTCTTTCTGCCTTAAAAAGATTTTTTTCTTACTTCGATAAGGGGTTAGCGTGGATGATTTGGAGCCATGAATTTGAGGGGGGAATTAAAAGGCTAAGAGATGGGCAACCATGAATGTGCTAATGACAGTTGGGTCTATATTAGATCCCATGTACCCCTATAGAGATGTCGAGAGTGCCTTTTGTTTTATTGTTTATTTTCTGCTTGAAACTGGTGGAAAAGAAAGAGAAATTGAGAACCATTTTCCTATGTTTTGATAATTTTCAATAAAATCATGATTAAATAACAAATAGAGCTATTACTGTTACATCTCAATATATTTTCTATTATTTTCATGCAGCATCATAGTATATATATATATATATTATATAATATATATATATATATATATATATATATATATATATATATATATATATAGGAGAGAGAGAGAGAGAGAGAGAGAGAGAGAGAGAAATTCTTATGTCAACTTAAGTGGACTCATCTACCTACTTTCTTACCCATTGATGTTGCTTATATATATATATATAATATATATATATATATATATATATATATATATATATATATATATATATATATAATATATATATATATATATATGTGTGTGTGTGTGTGTGTGTGTGTGTGTGTGTGTGTGTGTGTGTGTGCTGTGTGGATAAAAATTTTGGTGGACAAGGCTTGCATCCACTTAAGTTGACATAAGCTCATCTCTCTCTCTCTTTAATATATATATATATATATATATATATATATTATATATATATATATATATATATATATATTATATATATATGAGATTAATGGGTATCTTTGTCATAGGAGGAGATTTTCCTCCTTGTTGCTTATGTGGCACAATCCCACCATCCTCATAAAGTAGGCACAAATCCCCACCAACTCACACTTCTGTCCTACTTTATAAGGATGGTGGGGGATTGTGCCACATAGGCGTCAAGGAGGAAATCCCTCCCTATGACAATGATACCCATCTAAATCTATATATTATATATATATAGTATATATATATATGTGTGTGTGTGTGTGTGTGTGTGTGTGTGTGTTTGTTTGTTTGTTTGTTTGTTATAATTTTAAATCCACGTAACTCTGCATAACCCGATTAATCAGCGCATAATCCCATTAATCGTTACTCACTCTCGGGCGGCACGCATAATAGAACCGTTTTAGAATCTTGTTTGTGTGGTTATTTGTTATTATTGAATAGCTGTGAAGTTAAAGGAAAAAATCATGAGACGTTTGTAAAACCAACAATTCTGATGTATGAGAATATAGGCAAAAAACATGTTCAGAAATGGGTACAACAAAAATGAAAGAATGAGATACTTAAGTGGCAACATGATATGAGATACGATAAAATATGATCGAGAAGAATTTGACATTGAATTTGGGGTTAAATTGGGAGAGATTTAAGAGACCCAATTGACATGGTGGGCATGTATAGCAGAGGCCGGTAAATATGCTAGCTAGAAGGGATAGTGTTGTAACTAGTGGAGCTTAAATGAATGTGAGTGGAGGTATCTCCAAGGTTTGACTTAACATGAGAGATGACCCTCCAGAAAGCTGAATGAAAGAGGATAGATGTGGTTGACCTCGAAATCTACTGAAAATGCCACTGCTGTTTGTTAGCTATGCCAAAACTCCAACTCTCCATGTATGGGATATCTCATATAAAAATCATCATGATCGTTTGTTTGTATGAGAAGCCGTGAAATCCAACAATGTAAAGCCACTTTCCATATCCTCGTACTTAAAAACTCCCACAATTGTTTTTGAAAGTTCCGTTTGATTTTAGTGGAACCAATTTAAGATCATTTTCTGCATGTGACAATAGTTTGATGTGTTTCTTCTGAAGATGGCTTACAAAGCTGTGATAATTGTACTTTTGTGTTGGATATTTTCTTTCCTAAGAGATGTTTTATATTTAGTCAAAACTACATGCTTGGTATTTTCCAGCTCTTATGTTTTCTTTTCATCTGCGCTTTTTTGTGTGGGTACGTGAGAGTTCCTTTCATATTGACACGTAATCTACTCAAATTATCCATTACTACATGAATAACAGGATAAAAGGTTTTCTCCTTGAGATGCTATCATTATGCCATTAGTCTCCTTAAGGGGAAAAAACGTTCTTGCTTGCCTTGTGATATCTTCAGGCGTTCTGGAAAAATCACTTGGTGCTTGGCTGATATTTTTTCCCTGATAGGTTATTGACATGCTTCTCTTCAAAGGAATGGAGGAACTTACTAACATTGTAGATCATGCAAAGCAGAGGCACCACATCATAGGTCAATATGTCGTTGGACGCGAGGGACTTGTCAAGGACATGGACAAAAAAGACCAAGGGAGCTCAGATTTCCTGAAGAAGTTTTATGAAAGCAACTACTTCTGATTCAACATGGAATATTTCTTCGGTTTGGCTTGTTGTAGATCTCTCCTTTCCCTAATTCTGCAATTAAAACTGTGACAATAAGATGGTTCATGGTTGTTGATACTATGCTTGACCTCATGTATCCTTTGTTTTGAGAGAACTGTGTCCTGTTATTACACTGATATAATTGCTTTCTGTGAAATTTACATGGAAAGAAAAAAATTAGGTAAGGTTGTATTGATATTTGGAGTAATTGGAGGTTATGCAGGTTGCAGGGAATGAATTTGTATAATGCATTTCACCTGATACACTTTGCTCTATCGGTTGGCGGGAAGAAATCATAATGTTGATGGTTCAAATGAGATTGTTCTCTTCAGCTTTTCCGGAGATGGTTCTTGTCTTTTAATCCTTCTCAAGTTCTTTGATGCAAGCTATGTACGTAATAAAATTTTTTTTTTAACATCATAATAATAAATATTAAATATGAATAATTATTTAGAAAAATATTGCCAAAAATGATATAAAGTATATTGCTTTTAGAAAACAGGGGGAGTGAGGGACTTATCAAGTGAGCAGTGGTAAGGATGTCTTTAGATCTTTTCAATTTGGGAAAATTGCTTCTAGCCTCCAAAAGAGCAAGATTTATTCCTCCCACTAAGACTTTTTCAAGGCTTCTAAGACCCCCTAAATTAAAACCCGAATCCGTTTAGCCCCCCCTCCAGCTGAAATTGAACCTATTATGTGTATTTTTCAAACATGTGAAGACCAAAATACTCTCTCTCTCTCTCTCTCTCTCTCGTTACCAGGGGTGCGAAGGGGAAATCCAGTCATTGGAGATGTCTCACTGTAAGCATTAATGATGATTAGAAAGGAGTTTTGGAGGGGAAAACGCTAGTTCCCTCCCACTTCTAACCATCTTCTACCTCTCTCACTCTTTCACATGGTCGCTAAATTCTCTCCATAAATCCTCTTTGCTTCTTTAACTACTCTCTCCCGGCCATTTAATTTTCCTCAATAAATCTTCTTTTCTTCTTCAACTATTTTTTTATCTATAATGACGGAATGATCCCTCCTTTGTATGGTTATAAACACAAAAAGCAACAAAAAGGGTGAGAATATTTTCGTAGTTATCAATAACTCTACAGAAATCATTAGCTTGAAGTATCAAGTGCCTCAATTGCTTAAACTCTCATTACAATCTTTTTCACTGAAATTCATATTCGAAAAGGAAAAAACAATTTTAGTTTGCAATTGAAAATGATGACGAATTGAGCTTGATGTTCGAGTATTGTCGTTGTAATAGATTTACAGACATAAACTTATATGCTACATCAACTGCGGATTCCCACCTAAAATTCTCTAGAAAATATGTAAACATTTTTAGCACTTTTTTCCCCTAAAGCATCTTCATCACTTTTTTGTGAAATTAGGTAGGATTTGAAGGTTAGTAGTTGGTTGTTAACCTTATTGGTTAGTTGTTAAGGTTTTAGTCGTTTGTTAACATTACGAGATAGTTGTGTATATTATAGTTTAGTTTGCTAATCATAATGATTTGTTGTTAAGGTTGAGTTGGTTGTTAACATTGTGTGTTGATTGTTAACCTTAGTAGATAGTTGTGAGTTCGTTGTTAACCTTGACCATTGGTTGTTAAGATTATGAGTTGGTTGTTAACCTTATGAGATTGTTATGAGTTGATTGTTAATCTTATGAGTTGGTTGTTAACATTTGTAGATGATTGCTAGAAGCAATTAGTTGTCGAGTTGGTTGTTAACGTTAGTAGGTAGTTGTGAGTATGTTGTTAACCTTAACTATTAGTTGTTAAGGTTATGAATTAGTTGTTAACCTTATGAGTTAGTTGTTAACCTTAATAAATATTTATGTGTTGGTTGTTAACCTTATGAGTTGGTTGTTAATCTTTGTAAATGATTGCTAGAAGCAATTAGTTGTTAATGTTATGAGTTGGTTGTTAATCTTATGAGGTCGTTGACTAACTTAGTAGTTAGTTGCTAATGTTTATAGTTAATTGTTACGTATTCAAGTATTTTCTCACTATTGCAGGACGATCTCGACGGAAAATTCCCGATGCACAGCTATTACACTTAGCCAACCATATAAGGATGAGCGTATTCCTAAAGACAATCTTGCTGGCGTCTCTATCATGATGATGTGAGACATGGTTAACAACCAAAGCAACATCCCAGCTGAGTAGCACACAATCATACATGCAGAGGGATAGAAATTTAATAGTGCTACTAAAATTAGATTAACACTTCAATGCTATTTAATTGCAAAAAGATTCGAGTATGATTTTTACCATAACAAACAAAAATATATAAGAGTGCATTGCCAATACAAGGACACAAAAAAATGCCCTAGGATGATGTTTGTATTCATACTCTGAAATTGCTCAATTATATCTATAAAGAAATTCCACGCTACTCACACTTGCGGTCAACATGGAGCTAATTCTAGTAAATCAAGAGCATCATGCAAATTTATTATAGGTAAAATATGATCTGTTATGAAGGGTACGCCGGATCTTCGACCAATTGATATTAAGAACGACTTACTCTCACAGTTCAGAATCAAGATTAATTACAGCAAAGCGTGGCAAAGCAAAGAGAGCACAATAAGACATGTTCTGTGACAATGATGATGCCTACGATTCACTAATATGGTAAAACTTATCTGATTAAATAAGTACTTATACCTTAGCTGCCATGTCTGTGTTAACCTTAGCTATTAGTTGTTAAGGTTATGAGTTGGTTGTTAAGGTAAGGTTATGAGTTAGTTATTAAGGTTATGAATTGGTTGTTAACCTTAGTAGATCGTTATGAGTTGGTTGTTAATGTTATAAGTTCATTGTTAACCTTATGAGTTAGTTGTTAAGTTTACTACTTAATTGTGAAGTATACAAATTTGTTGTTAAGGTTACGTCACAATCATTAAGCTTCAGCTTAGTTGTCAAGTGTACATGTTCATTGTTAATATTACAGTTTAATTGTTATGTTTTCACACTAGTTGTTAAATATACAATATACTTTATAATTTAGTTGTTAAGTATACCTCTTAGTTGTTAATGTTACAGCTTAGTTGTTAATGTTACAATTTAGATAGTAATATTAATGATTACTTGTTATATTTATACAAGTATGAAGCCATGGTTCTAGCCACTAATCTAGGAAGCCATATTGCCATTGATGATTATGATGGCATGTTTAGGCGTTTGCTCATAAGTTATAATACTTGTATTGAAGGGTTCATTGCTGGATGTAGGCTTCTGTTATTTTTGGATGAAACATTTCTTAAAGACCGCTACAAAGATATATTACTTAATAGCATAGGATATGACAAAAACTAAGGAATATTTCCTCTTGCTTATTGCATATGCGACTAGGAGAGTGAGGAAAATTAAAAATGGTTCTTACAAGGAGTGTGGTCCATACTATATGATAGGGGAAATCCTTACAATACTCTACATTAACTGGTCATGATTTCTGATGCTGACAAGGGTATTAGGTTAGCGGTTGAAGAATTCTTTCTAAATGCATTTCATTCTAGGTGTGTTCTTCATCTAGTCGAGAATTTTTAATAAAGATGAAGGGATTAGGTCATAAAACAAATATCACTCAATATTGGGTAACTTGTTATAAACCGCGGCTTATAAGTTCACAATTGCCTAATTGGATGATTACATGAAAGAATTAGCCTTGATTGATGCAAGAGCTTATATTATTGCAATGAATTACTCCCCCAGAGAGATGAGCAAACACTTATTTCCCTGGTATAAGGTATGATATTATTGTTTAATTTAGTTTGTTTCTAAGTTTTTCGTTAGTTGTTAATGTTAAATTTTTGTTGTTAACCATACGTGTTGGTTGTTAAATTTACAGGATAGTTGTTAAGTTTACAAAGTAGTTGTTACATTTACTCATCAGTTGTTAAGGTTATAATGTAATTGTTAAGGTTACAATGTAGTTGTTAAGGCTACATCATAGTTGTTAAGTTTACAGAGTAGTTGTCAAGGTTATAGATTGGTTGTTAAGGTTACAGATTAGTTGTTAAGATTACAACTTGGTTACTAAGGTTACAATTTAGTTGTCAATGTGACAGTTTAGTTGTTAAGGTTGCAGCTTTGTTGTTAATGTTATCGCTTTATTGTTAAGATTACAGTTTATTTATCAAACTTATGAGTTTTTTCATGTGATTTATAGGTATGATCATGTTACTTTAAACGTTGTTGAGTTCTTCAACAGTTGGATAAGAAAGGCACGAACGTTACGAATCTTACCTTTGGTGGAGATGATACGAAAACAAGTCATGGAGCATATGCATGATAGAAGGCTTATGGAAGTAAAATGGACTAGATATTTATGTTCAGAAGCTGAGATAATATTGAGTGATAACATTCATCATAAAAGTTGCTTACATGTTAAAAATTCGACAGAAGATATTGCAGAGGTTGAATCTAATAAAACTTAACATGTAGATTTAATGAATCAGACATGTTTATGCAGGTCTTGGGATATGACATCCATTCATTGTAAGTGTTGAAACTACTTAGATGGGATAAGATATTTATCATTATTGTAATCGGTTAATGACCATTGAAGCATTCAGAAGAAGTTATGTACTAATAATCTTTCCTACTTTAAATTACGAGAATCACATTATACCACCAGAAGACCATTTGATAAAGCCTCCCCTTACAAAAAAAAGACAGGGAAGACCATGTACTAGACGACCGAACAACTGGTCGCTGAATACCCATCCTGTTAAGTGCTCCCAATGCGACATAAAAGGTCACAATTGACAAACATGCAACAAGCATATCTAGTTGCTAACCGTATGCATTAAATGCTAACCTTTTGTATTAGCAGCTAACAATATGTATTGAATGCTATCCTTTTGGATTGGTTGTTAATGCTGTGCATAATTCTGACAAAAAAATGAATTAATATTATGCATTAAACATAAGTTGTGAAATTTAGTGCTAAGTTGTTAAGATTACAGTTTATTTATTAATTTTATGGCTTAGTTGTTAAGGTTACAAAACTTACCTATAAACTTAATAACTTAGCCGTAACCTTAACAATTAAGCCGTAACCTTAATAACTAAAATGTAACTTTAACGACTAAGCTATAACTTTAACAGTTGTACTTAACAGCTACGCTGTAACTTTATAAAGAAAGCTATAATCTTAAATAAGATGTAAACATAACAACCAATAGCTAATTTTAACAACAAACCTTAACAACTTAATAGTAACACTTCACCAACCTACACTTAACCATTAAAAAACTAA